ATTAATTATTATATTTAAATAACTTAAGAATCAAGCTACAATTGCAAATTAACACAACACATCTTTTCAGTACATGCAGTTATATAAACAGATGAATTGTCAATAAGGAGAGGACAAGAGCAAATTAAATTATGACGGACATCCAGTTCAATTTGCTGCCAGACATTGCTCACTTCGAAATAATTGAATTAAGTCCTGATGCAGAAACCATTACAGCCACTTGTGATTCGGTAAACAAAACTAGACTTGTATAAAGCTCACGCCGTCTAGTTTCCGCAGATTGGGAAACTCCTCCATCCATTCTCTATTAAGAACGAGACATTTCCGTATAAGTACATACCCAGCTGAAGTTCTGCGACGCTGTCTTCGTTTATGCAAACATTAATTGATTTGTAACTGTTACGAAGTCTCCTTCCTATGCTCCTTGATACCAACTTTTACTTCAACTTCTGCCTTTAATAACTGGACACGCTTAGGATTGGTTTGCTCGCAAAATACTATTTATTTGTTAAAAAAACTTACATCAGTACCTGCCTATCTAATAACCTTACCTATATGAGTAATTCTTGTTATATACAAGGTGTACACTTGTGTGTGTTTTTTAATATGACATATCACTGGATCTCAAAAACAGTTCCAAAGACTTCGATGAAATTTTGTATAAGTACAAAATGTTTCGGGGAAGAAATCTCAATCTTACTAGGTTTTTATTCGAGAGGAAAATCATCCTATAACTTCTCCCGTCCAGGGTGAGACGGGAGGAAGTGTCAGACCCTTACTGACTAAAAAATCCTTTTTCCTTCTCCTGCTCTAGGCCATGGCCACGATGCGTTATCGCACTATCCTCAGTTCAGCCAGGGTTGCCTGGCTGAACATCAGCCCTAATAAGGCTATCAGCCCATCAGTGGTTGTCTATAGGCTGTTTGAGGCGCGAGCCGAACGCTACGCGGCCTATGCTCCGGTCTGGTTCTGGTCGGAGGGCGAGCTACCCTTACTCGCCATCCGCAGACCCGCGCGTACAGTGGTTGGAGATCATCTTTCTATCCTATAGAAGGATAGCTTCCTCACGTGCTCCGCTTCCTTCATTGTAAGCATAACTGCTGCGCAGGAGACAGCTTCTTAGTTCCTCTCGCTACGCACCGTGGCCACGACTAAGGTCGGGCGAAAGAGGTCGCCACTGCCGATCACTTCCCTGAGGGCGCGGCGGTGCTCGGTTTAAGCAGTGCACACCGCCACCGCATGCACCACCGTGTTTTTTGGATGGTCCTCACAATGACGGCACTCGGGTGTTTCCTCCTACCGAATCCGAAACAGGAACCTACCGAAGCTAAGCTAGGTGAAGTGAATTTGTTTAGTCCCGTTTGTTGAAATAATAATAATGAGTGCATTTAGAATAAATAAGTCTTTGGGAAACTCCGCCCCTAAGACGACCCACTGACCGGGATTTCTTATTATTTGTAAAAGTCAGCTCAAAGTAACTATGTCTATGTTCAAATATATGCGAAGTTTAGACTTAATTAAGTAAGAGTGATTATCTAAAATTTGGCTTGGCTTGGCTTCAAATTGACAAACTTTTTGTAAAATCTTTCGACTGACCCATATTCTGAGTATCAGAGTACTATATACTTTAATGGAAGATTCAAATTAAAATTATAAATGTCCATAAAGTTCACACGCCGCCGCCGTTTGCTGTCATGCAATACCGGGAATTGATTAAACGCAGACACGGTGCTGACATTTTCCCCTTATTTCTGAAACCTTCATTATGCAACTATATAAAGCTACCTTCTTTCTGTGCATGCATTGCAATATTGTGCCCCGTGCTTATAATATTCTCCGAAAAAGCTGGCAAAAGTAAGTAATTTTCGCTACTTTAAAAGGACCTGACACCTAGTTGGTACTCTATAAGTCTTTGAGTGAAAAAATTACCTCTGATCCCCGGTATCGAAAAATTGGTACGCTTAAAACAACTTTGCTACCAATGACACATACATAAATTCAATTTATGCAATAAAATAAAGAGTTTACTTATGCTGATTGCAGATTGAAATGGCCAATTTTAATGGATGTCTCAATCAGCAACGGTTGCGTAATAAATCACTGATTCCATACTTTTGCCTCGGTATAAAGTTTTCAATCATTTTACACGCAGCTTGCTTGTATTGTGAACATTTGTTCTATCCTACATTACTGTAATATACACAATGACACACGCAGAATCGTCTTTATACGCAAGAGCGTATAAAGACGATTCTGCGTGTGTCACCTTTAATTGGTGAAAAATTATTAAAAATATCATAGAATGTCGCCTCTCGTTGACTGTTCTGTTAAGCCTAACTAGCAAAAAAACATCCCGTTCCAACTGCTTCGAGCCAATAGTGAGGTAACTAATTGCTTTTTACATGCTTCCCCGGCCAAGCATCACTCTTAGTGGGCCATGTCTGTGGTGGTCTGACAGCAGCTCCTTACACGCTCTAGCCATGCAACTAGCTAACCGCGGCAAGTGTAGTCTATACTTGCCGTGGCTGGAGTTGGTCGCGAGATTGCTGACGCCCGCAGCGTCTGGGGCGCAAGGAGGTTCATTTTTTCACATGCTCTGCCTTTTCCTCAGCTAGAATGAAAACTGCTGGTTTCCCAGATCCCTTCACCCCGCACAACGGCCTGAAAGCAAATGATTATAAGTCATATCAGAGGAATCGTTCAAAAATGTTCCTTGTCAATGGTCGTGGGTCGTCATCCTGGCGGAGGTGGTTTGCTCTCTATTAATTAAGTCGCTTTTTATATATAATACTCATATAATTGGTAGGAGTAGGTGTAGCTTATAGGAACGGAAATAAAATGTCATAATTATTCAGGTCAATTAGTATAAGTTTTTTATGTGTATTTATAAACTGATAGTAAGCAATCGGCACCGCCCTTGGATAACCATAAAAGTTGCAAGTGCGTTGCCAGCCTTTTTGGAATAAGGAGTTTTAAGGATTTAGGGTTGTGGGAGGGAAAAGGTAACCCCTCCGAGCTATAACTTAGATAGATTTAGATATAACTGTACTTACATAATATCAATTAGTAACCTACTTACTATCTTGCTAATTGCAAAACATACAAAGCACAAACTTATTTCTCAAATACCATAAAACTCTCAAATACAAAAGTTAAAAAAAAATGAGCTAAACGTGTAAATCTACGTAGTTACAGAGCTTATAGACATATGTATGACATACAAGTCATTTTACACACACTGGCAATGACAGGTATTAACCAATTGATAAAAGCATGTATATGCATATCTACATAACCTACATAATTATATAAGCGTGCCTACAAAAACAATAACACATTATTTCTGAGTTTTATTGAAAACAGTGTATCATTAATTGCCTACAAGCATCGATCACTAATAAAGAACATTAGTGATCGATGCCTACAAGCAAAAGAATATTGAAAGCGTTGCATCGCAATAATTAATTATGAAGAAAGAAATAATATATTTATCTTTGCGCAAGCGCACACAGAGAATACAAAAATACAAAAAAGAAGAAAATAACTTTGCTAATAATCTACATTAAAATACACAAATAATACATAAAATAAATTACCTAATAATCAAAAAAAACTTGTCTATTATGGTCCACAGAGTATGGCCTAATGCACGAGGTCGCGTGCATCTTTTTCAGTTATTTAATTTCATTATAATTGTTGAACAATAAACTGACCTATTATTATAAATAAAATATTATAAACCTGAATAGTTTGTGTATTTGAACGTGTTAATCTTAGGAACTACTGGTTCTAATTGAACAATTCGTATTTTTAAGGCTATAGGCTATAAAACATCACGCTACGATTTCTAGGAACAAGGAACTGAGCAGCGGACGAAACCGCGCGAGATGAGCTAGTTATAAATTTTCACGCAACGGTTTACAGAAGGACCGGCCGACCTTCCCACAGAACAACTTACTAGATATTCCTACAATGTACATAACTAGACAACGAAAAAAAAAATAATCGGACTAACTATTTTATTACATTCACCTAACCTAAGAGTTCATTTTTTTTATTATTTCCTAATCATCTTAAACAATTTTACCAATTAGGGAAATGAGTGTGAGAGAGCCATACTTTGACATGAATGGGTCGGCTCGACCACGGCCTCACAGAAAACCGGCGTAAAACAGCCACAGCGTTGCGATTCGCCGTGTCAGTGTGGCTACCGCAGGCCCAATCCTTCCCCTACCCCAATCCCAAAATCTCCAAATCCCTAATCCCCAAAAGTTCGGCAGCGCGCTCGTAACTCCTCCTCGTAAAATGTATTGTATATTTTATTATTTATTTATGCCTTCATTAACTTGTTACCGCTATATTAACATTCAATTGATCCGTCAATTAGGCCGCATTAGCCATTAGCGGTATCAAACATTGAGTAACGTGATTATTAATTAGCAAGTAGTTTGTACTAATCAAATCAATTTTTTCTCCTTGTTATAACTGCAATATCGTGAAAAATGTTTCCTAACTTAATAGTTTGTATTTTTTCTATATACGTCTCAATTCTCACATACAATATCCATCAAAAATAAATTATTTTGTGGGTCACTCCTATCGTTCTTGAGTGCTGCTTCATGACCACATGCCGGGCGGCAATTAGTTTCACGATGATAAGTTTATTATATACATATGTATTTTAATATGTAGTTCTAATTCAATTACAAGCATGGCAACACTACAGAAAAAATAAAACAAACTAACCATTTTAAAAGTGCTAATATTTAGGCACCAAAATTATTACTTACATTTTGTTACAAAAAGTTAATGTTCCTGTTATTTTATTATAATAAAATATTAAAAATGTTTTCACAAGTTGGCAAGTTTTGGCTAAAAGTATAACACGGCGCGAATGATGATCACGTCATCGCTCGCGTGGCAAGCACGATGAGGCGCCGCGTCATCTGGCCGGTTGGTCTGATAAACCACCGTCCGTCTCATTTTATTACTGCGCGTGTGTTGCGATAAAACGAGACGGAGAATTGCTCACTTCGCGTAGCGGTAAACAGCAAACTTTATCCAAATTCCAAGTTGCCGGAACCCGCTCAGTTCTACTCCAGCCGCAGACGATAACGCACGCGTTTTCTCTCTATAAACTGATATAACTTTACGTAAGTTAACCATGACGCTTCCATGCGTGTTTGCGGTTCTGGCTTTGATCGGGGCTACCTTCGCGGGCCCTGAGGTCACCGAACTTAAGGTCGACGTCGTGAGCGTCCCAGAAGAATGCACCGTCAAGTCCAAGCACGGCGACATGCTGACCATGCACTATACCGGCACCTTGGACGATGGTCACAAGTTCGACTCCAGGTACGTGTAGATTTTAAAATGATCTTCAAAGAAATATTTTAAATCAGAAAGTCAATTGTTATTGAATAGGCAGTAAGCAAGACGCAATTTCTTGACCCTGACATTAGTAAGTACTAATTAAGTAGCCTCTTGGGAAACTTGAGTTTGTCGCCTTATGCTTAAATTTTCGACAATAAGGGAAGAACAATGGCCAATGAATTAGAAAATTCTCTTGTTAATAATGTAGGTAATATGAGATTTGTTTAACATTATCACGTCCACAATTCCGGTTTGATTCTGCCATGAGCGGCTGTCGAACGTCATCGGTGCGATGACCCGTTTTAGTTTAAGAAATAACTATTAGGTAAATACGAGCGCATCACTACTTCGATAATGTTAATTTTAGCGCTATAAAGCCGCAATTCGCCATTATCATGAAAATTTTACGGTTATTTGTTTCAAAGTTTTGAAAATTTCTCCATAAAATATGGAGATAACGACTCTTGTGAACTAAATGTTTAGTAACAAAAAGGCTTAGGTAAAACTAATTTTTAGTCAAAAATATTCAGTCATATCACGGGGATTTCATTTTTACCCTAAAAACACAATGATATTTTTATGTACAGACTTTTATATATTAGCAACAAGTTATTACTTTTTTTCTTATTTCATTCTAACATTACTCACTATACAATGTACCTACATATTACTCCATTATAATGTCTATCAAGTTAATCAATACACCACGAAAGCAAAATTAATTAATCTATAGGTTCTAAACGACTTACGTAGCCAAATACTTATAGAAGTGCAAACATGTTTACTTTTAAACACACATATGCAAAAAATATGTTTTACCTGTTTCCCATCAGACAAGGACAAATGTTGGTTTGGTATTTTATATTTTATTTTGCTATTCAACGACATCGCATCGTAAAAGTTTTCTGCTATATTATTCTCCCGTCGGCACGACTTGAACCACTTGACTATCCACTATCTAGTGCCCATTCCATTTTTAAAACAGGAATATATATAAAATACTGGATATGTGGAGCTTAGTGTTACTTTACCTGTATTTATTGTAGGCTTAGTAGTGTACACGGATGGTTCAAAGATAAATTAGCATAGTTAGTAGAACTTAACTCAATATGACTGACAAGCTGGAAGGCTGAAATGTCGATTGACGAGCCAAGTAGAACCTACTTTCATGCAAACTCCAATTATCACTATTGGACTGTAGGAAACTAGCTACGTCAATAAGAGAGTAGACATTTTGGAGAAATACTTTCCAATATGTTTAAAAGTTTTTATATGTAAAGCAGGTGCACAGCTACATGTGTTTAAATATTTGCATATATTTCAACAGGATTAAAATCTTATGCATTTTGAATGAGCAAATAAAAGTCAGGTTTTAGGATACCTACTATAATTTACGCCGCACTTAGGTTTTCCATTTCCTGTATATACGAGTATAGCACCGCACTATTATGAATTAGGCTTTAAACTTTAATGATGTTCAACCTTTTTGCAACGGTATTTCAAATCAAAATATTTATTTCTTACAATAGCAAGGACTTTTTTATAATGATGTAAAACTTTGTGAATAGTTTCGTCCAAAGTGAGCCCCTAATTAATACCTTTCTTCACCTGTTAGCTTTCCAGTCTCAGACTGATGATACCTTGTAATAAAATAGGTATTGCTTTCAATACTTAGACAAGCATTAAATTCTCTTTTGTACTTATATTTTCAATTTCCAATATAGATATCAGGTTTAAGGCAATGAATTAGTTTAAATAGAGTTCAAGAATATTATGGTCATATAATAGAACAACTAAAATTTAGCACAGCGGCGTGCATATGCTAGAATTAAGCCGGAACGTCCCGTTATTTTGCGCAATGAAATAAAAATTCACTGAAAGCCTTTTGTTACCAAATCAGCCAGTGATGTGACACTTTATGACACGCATATCAACGGATTCCCAATGTTGATTTTCAATTGGATTGGATTATTACATAAACTTTTAGTGTTCGACTATATAGTTTATTTTAAATGACTATTACACACATATTCCAGGGATTATCACTCATTGTACCTTTTTAACCGACTACAAAAAAAGTTGGGGGTGCTCAATTTGTCGGGATATTTTTTTCTAATTAACGTGTTTTAGTAATTTAAAAGTCACGATACATATTTTACTTTGAAGAGATGGTTGCGAATGTATGGTTGCAATGAAACCTCAATAAACATAATTAAGTTAATATAAATATGGTAATCAGCTCATCCAACTCTCTTTATTCTGGCTCACTTATGTTTCTAAGAATATTTCAACCAAGATTTTAAATTAGAAATTTTGCTAATAACATGGGACATGGGACTTAAGAGAAATATTGTTTGTCTTCGGGCGTTTTGCAGCGTTAACCTAAAACTCCGTTTAAGTCAAATATATTTTGGGTATCATACAGTCGCCATTGTTCATCGCACGGATGAAAAGTGACAATCTGATTGTTATTTAGGTTTTTTTATTTTAGATTGGAATTTAGGTCTGGTTCACAAAGCGTCTATGGTATGACATAGACTTGATCTCTAGTTTTTTTGCCAACTGCTATCCATATCGTAATTAAAACTCGTGAGTAATAATTCCTGATGCGGTGGTACTCCGCAGTTTTTCAAAGTGTGCGGCGGCTACGAGGAAGCAGGATTGTTCTCATTCACAGAATATCCGAGGATATGGCGGACGAATGTGAATTTCTGGCGCGCGATGTGATTAACTTACAAACTTGAGCTTGTTTCACGAACACGGTGAAACTTTTGTTATTATCGTTTATGGGCGCGCATGTAAAATTCGCCGTTTAATTATATACAATCTTAACTTATTCACATTTCACGTAAAGATTTTACTTATTTCAATTATACTCGGTGGAAAGTATTACTCCATCCTACGGAAATTCCTGCGGTTTTCCGTTCCCGGTACCTGCTCGGTTCTAACATTCATGTTGCAATCGATATTTTAGTTTCACTTTCAAGTGTAATCCACTCGTACATACGGATTTCCGAATGTGTACCTATTTATCGGTAGGCACTTAACATTTTTGTTTCTCTGCATTTTCTTAAAAGCGGCGTGAGGCCGTGTCCTCGCTCGAAGCGTTAGTAATGAAAGAATCTTGTAAACGATTAGGATTGTGTTAACTATTCATGTGTTTGCGAAAGTACTTAGTGTATTTTTCCTGTTTCTTACAATGGAATAATACTTTTATAAGAAATTCGGAAGTAATATACAAAATACTCAAAGTCATATCTACGTAAGTATAAAAGTACTTATGTGGTAACGGTTTTATAGTGAAATCTAATAAAAAATCGTAGTGAGCAACTCCATAATTTATTTCAGTCCGGGTATTGTAGCAAAGTTTAGTAAAAAGTTAGACTATCTCTCAGATTATCATACAATATGGAGTAGCCTGTACTGGTGCGTCCGACACTGTCGACCGCTCGCTAACTTTTTTAATTGTCTCCGTAGAACACGTCACTGGAGTGGACTAATTATTGCTAATCTGTGTGCTTTCTACCACAATAGCATCCATTCTGAATTTCTTGGTTTATAATATTTTATACATTAGTTACGTGCGCACATGCAAATACAAAACGATTGTAAGTCTACGGGGCTCCTACTTGACACGGTTGCGAGAGAAAGCGCATCTTATTATCTAAAACAATGGTGCAATAGTGAACATTATCTCGATCTATGACGTAGCGCACGGAGCATGAACATAAAACACCGCCGTTGTACTTTGCTCACTAAAAACTTAACGAGGAGTAATAAATAGCCTTGTATCTCGTAATTCATTATGATGGTAGTCTTAATAGCTAAGTTTGTAAGTTTCTAATACTTCTTGTACTATCGTGATTCGTCGTGTACACATATATCGTATGTTAATATACATGTAAGCGAGGTAGAGGAGAAGAATGAGTAATGTTTAATAACACGTAGAGTGGAGGTTGCCGCCGCACCGCTTGCTAACTTGAGCCGAGGTAACAGCGTGAAAGCCATCTCTATTATCTCGTCATATCATTAGCTCAATGCGTAACTATGTGCCGCTACAATTTAAGTTGGCTACCGCGCCGGAGTTCATCCATCGCGGGTAACGATGCCTCATTCCAAGTGTCCCGAACTACGTTAGCGATAATAATAGGGATTATGATGTGCCTCCATCCCGCCGCACGTTGACACGAAGCTTGCTAGTTGCTTCAATCACTTATTTACCTTTTATATGTTTCCAAGCCCTACTCTGCAACTTGTATAATATTCAAATTTTTTCTTCGAAATAAATCATTATTACAATGTTTACTGGTCGTCAAGGTTGGTTGGCATTACCTACCTAAGAAATTTATTTTTCACGTAGTCACAAAAAAAGTCGTTTTACATAAAACACTAGGTTTCAGTTAGGAAATGAGCCATTCTGCAAATGTACTCTAATAATGGAGTAACCTATACAAAAATCTTGAGGTAATTTGCGTCATGAAATTGCAGTGTGATAAGTCAACACGTAACCTGACCTAAGTTGCTTTACCGTACACGTTTACCTTTACATCGCTGTCAGCTGCCTTGAAGGACGAAGAATGTATAATTAAATTGGATTCAGCTCCAGGTGGAGCCGCATTAGTCACATCATTTACTCGGCCGAGTCGTCCACTCTGTTCTCCAACGGTTTCATTAACAATTTTGATTACTTTGTATTTGTGTTGACCGAACCAGCGCATCGATAGAAATTTAAATGGAAACTTCCAATCACCTAAAAGAAAATTAAGTTTTCGAATGTGGAGGGATTGTCGGAAACGGCCCAAGTAATTAATTGGGTAAACACGAATAGACATCCCGGATTGAATCTCTCTTACGAGGAATGGAAATTTTGCATTCGTTTAAACTTAACGAAATTCGTTCCGATGAATACAATGTTCTCTCGTTATTAATGGGATTAGGACTTGTATTGACTCTACGAGCGCTTTTCGTCGCTTTATATGTGTCTTTTTTGATTCGACCTACCCACGAGACTCATACCAAACGCGAGAGTTCAATTTCCATTAGCATGAATGCACATACTATATGGTTATTGACGTGGTAATCGTCTTAGATGACTCAGAAATGTTTCTTACATAGGTATGTCAGCACGCTAAGTCACGGGGCGCTTTGCGCTGTCAACCTCCTACGTAAATCCCCGGTTTGGTATCAGCTAGAATCTAATTAGGTAAGCTCGCACATGCATGCACCCGCGGCGTCTTATTTCCGCGATCAACCTTTGCTTTCGTGTGTGTTCGTGCATTTCCGTCGAATTGCGGCTTGAAGCTAATTGCGGTGGTTGCAGGCGACGCCACACCGACACACCGACAGCCGCACTGCAACGATCTCGTATTAAGTGCGGTCCAGTGTTCACTTCCAACATATTTCTCTAACTATTCGCTCAACTACCACACGCTGCCCGTCACTTCTGCAAATAAAGCAACAGTGCACATATGCGTTGCCTAAATATTTTTTCATTATTGGATCCTTCTATAGTTGTTTCGTCCTGTAGGTACTGATAGTTTGGTATGTCAAAGATGAAATTTTCTTTGAATAATTTATTCTTATAGCATGAAACAGTACCTGGGGTGCTGATACCACAAGTACGAGTAGATATCAACTCCAACGTGCAGTTATTTGTACAAATTAATGATGTGGTTTGTTTCGTTGAATACACTCATTATGTTTACGTGTGAAGCACATTTCGGCCTTTATTTAAAATGTATTCGGCTGCATTGTGCCGTGGATATATTGCGTCCATACCATTGTTGGCAACTGAAACAAAAGCCAGTGTTCTCTCAAGGTTTTTGATAAGTGCAATTATGATTCTGCAAATTCATATTTATCTGATCCGAAACACCGTTCACCGCATTGTTGTTACAACGCACTAACAACTCGTATCTATTTTTATTCTAATCTGATCTTCTTCTGTTTTTTTTGCATTACCACCATCCGTCTATTTCCATTATTAAATTATTTCAAGTACGTCTCGAGCTAGACTGCAAATTATCTCAAAGAGTCGGGTATCACAGCGAGTAAGACAATCCTTAGCCATCTCCGTCGCTTTGCTAACGGTATATTGCAGTCAACGCTTCAGAAAGTTTGACCTGGCGACCGACTACTCTCGGCTACGGTAGTTGACACAACAAGGAAAAGTTGTCTGAGGAATCAACTTGTGTGGCATTCAAGACGATATTAGGCGGAAATACCAATATCTACATAAATGCATGCGACGTCCTACATTTGCCTGACTCGTCGGTCATAATGTTGTTTCATATATACAAGCTTAGTTTCTGGTATTCCTTTCATGGAAACCTGTAATTGTGATCTCACTTGGGTTCATTAAACTTTAAAGGTTGAGATGTTGTCATTTCATATTGAATTCTCTATGGACAAATTATGTCTGGCGAAACAATGTATCCAAAGGCAGTCATTCAGATAAATACGAACGAAATTACTGTTTTCAACGTATTGTCAAAAACAGTGTCTCAAACAGGGGAGCCAGGAAATAATGCTTTATACATCGACCACAGACTAGTCTGTTTACGGCTTTGACAAAAAGTCCATCGAAAGCATAGACAGTTAAAAAGGCAACGCAGTCTTTTATGGTAGCTATTGTGTATTTGTGTCAGAATTATTGCTTTTGGAAATTCGGTTTGTGCTAGGATTTTACAGTTCTTTTGGACTTTTTAGCAATGTGTGTGGTGTTAAGTGGGCAGTAG